GGCTAGAGGAAAAATCCTCTGCCCCCGTCGGGGATCGAACCCCGGTCGTCCAGCCCGTAGCTAGTCACTATACTGACTGAGCTATCCCGGCTCATAAGTACACACTGTGTAGTGCAGAATAACACAATGTAACACTGGATTAAGTCCTTTGATGTCCCGAAAACGCGGGATTATAAAGAGCCTAAAATGTGCCTGCTGACAATTCGTGTTCCGAGAGCAATTAGATCCGATCTTGTCTCTGTGCTGGGCATTGTTTACAGACGCGTGCAGTGATGGGCTTTAGTCAGAGCTGAGTAATTGTCTGAGCGCTGTAATCTCCTTATCGTATTGAGAGTTCAATGTTCTCGAAATCTGAATCATAGTTCATTGATTCATACAGTTTGGTTCATAGTAAAGTGAACAAATACTAAACAGTACACGCACAGCCATTGAGTTCATTTCTGTCAACACCAAAGCATAATTATAATCTTACTATCTGTAAATATTTCTATCTTAGTACACCAGTTCTAATGAATTAAAGTAACAAAACTTGACACGGAAAAGTAAATTAGCTTCGTGTGTAGCTTATTTCACTTTTGTTTGATGTAACAAATCGGCGATTTTGCATTAAATGTGGCTACGAACCTCTGTGTTTTATAAGGGCAAGTCCAGGTTTATTCGAAGTAACAGGGGTTTAAGAAATCCCTGTGCCTTGGGCTAATTTCACTCATAACTGTCAGAGATGACGGGAAGTTGACGTCAGTGTAGAACCGAAGTAACGGCCTCACGAGGCTTCAGTCCGATGTTCTTCTAAATCCTGATCTGGCAACTGCAGTTTAAAAACTCGATTCAACGCCCTATTTTCATCCACCCCTAACAGTTTCCTGCAAATTGGATATTCCGCAACTTTCTAACGCAATAAATATTTCTGCTGTCCCCGCAGAGACCCAGATTTGATGAAAGCTCGGTAGTGTGGACCACAAAGTGTAACATACATAAATTTCAAGCGATGTTTATGATCGGAATGCGATTACAAAATACAAGCAGCGTTACATTATTACTTCCTTTTGCTTTATACACAAGACTGCGTAATGCAGTTTACATATATGCGCTGGCTGTAGGACACGTCTTTTTTCTCTGTATTCTTTTGCACTGCACTGAAATAATGTAAATTCTTTTTCGTATTCTGCAGGCTGAAGTGTGAGCGAACATATTATAGACCCATGCATTTATCCTAGGAGATAGGCAACCCTCATGACCAGGTCTGTTTTGCGCCTCAGTGCGAACCCACTGTTGGAACCCATTGATACCCAACAATTGGAGCCGAGGTCATTGTTGAAACACAATGTTGCATAACAGTGATGTCGGATCACATTTCCAAGCCACTTAAAACATTGTTGGGGCATATTGTTGTGTGACAAATTACCTCGGGTAACATTAATTGAACAATGGTCTAAGGGCACTATTCAGACACTTGTTAAACTGTAATCTCGGGTGATGTTAGTGTAAGGATGACCAACGTGAAGTGTAGGTGTACTCCAAAGAGTACACCTTTCCAGTCTATTTTTTTTTATTTGCTGGACAATATAACAAGCTCGTACTTAAACTATGTACATAGCTTGGTAGACTAATTTTCTACTGATTCTTGAACAAAGTTCATAGGCGATTAAAGTAATGGCAGGAGACACTAAAGTTTGCAATGACTGTTCACTGCAAGACCAATATTATCACGTAAAATTAAATTCAAGTTTATAAAAGGAAGTGATATGAGATAATCAGTAAATGACTGGTGTTTGATCCGTACGAACATAATTTGCATTCGTTTAGCGGATTGCAGTGTAGACCTCAAGACCAAATTTATTAGAAATCCGTTTATTTAAGTTTAGTGTTTAAAAATGTGGGCGGTCAAGATTGGCGTGTAGGCGGGTCCTCCACGTTGTGCATTTGTACAAATAACTCTGAGTAGGTTAGGAATAGCCCAATCCTCTTCGAAGTTTTATGTGTCGACAGTTTTAGTAAAACTCCTCAATATAAAATTTAGGTCTAATGGAAATCCGTTTGGCAGATGTCGATGTCCAGCTGGGCAGATGGCCAGACTAACATGGCGAAGCTATTTGGCACATTTTACAACTTACTGTTGCGATCCTGCCTAAAAATGATCAGAACGAGAATCCAACTGGCACTGCGAACGAAATTTGTCAACACACAAGACTTTGTCTCCTTTCACTTGAATTATATTGTATTATAAACACATTTATTTATATTTGGATATCGTTTAGTATTTATTGTGCATAGTTTGTTCCACTTAAAGGTAAATTCGCCGGTTAATTAATATTTTTAGCTGTGCATATAATATCCCAATATAATTAACGTGCATTGCTGTCGTTTTGCAAATGGCTTATACTGTATGTTAACAATATAGAGACCTATCTGTATTACCGGTGAATTGTGGTCAATCTTTGATGGAAGGTTCCCTGTAAGTTATCACGCATGGGCTAATATACATAAATACTGTTTTAAGATAACTAATTGTAATGAATTACTTTTCTCTCATTTATTCTTATTATAAACGGATTTATTCCGGCATAGGACTGTATATTTTTTCATTTAAAATACGGAACCTTCTGTAGTTACGTAATTTTAAAGAAGTATCTTTAAATAATAATAATCTTTACATCATATTTAACTTTCCTACAGGCAAATTGTCATTCCTAGAGCTTGGAAATCAGTATTTCACAAAATTAAATTTTGTCGTGTAGAACTTATTAAAACCGCAACTGTTCAACTTTTTATATGTGATCTCTGTTCTCTTTTTCAGGGGCTGTTTAAGTGGTGAGTAGTTGACACTACTTTCATTATGATATAGGTAATTTGTTTTAGTAAGTAGCACCTCAACGTTAAGAAATATGAGAAATTATTGTTCTTTTGATCATATTTTATATTTATTTTAGATCTATTCTTCGGCAAATTGTCATGTTTCTTCCAGTTTATAAAAATCTGATGAAACGTTCCACAGCTTACTCATACTGAGAAAAAATGCGTGCCCTGCTTCTGAATTAATAATTCTTTCGCATTTTACTCATACCGTTGTACATGTGCTCGGCACAGAACTCTTATTTCCATTAAGGAAGACGTACTGCATGATTAGTACTGTTTCCGTGTACTGTAATCCGTATTAATACTAGTGTAAAAGACGATTAGTATCTTGAAAATTAATATATTTTAGAGAGAATGTTTTTAAACCAAACATTTCCAAGTGACGCTTAGTTTGGACGCTTGATTTCAAATTGTATTTTTAATATTTAGTAGTTCCAGACTAAGTACTTTCGACTTCGAGTTTTTTCCTCGTCTTTTAAGTAAAATGTATCGTGGAATAGGATTTTTAGCTTCTCTACGGCTGGGGTCATCTCGTCGAGGTGGAACATTGCCACCAGGACACAGACGCGAGAGCAGTTTATTTTTCGAACTAATATTTTATAAAAATAAAGAGGAGTTTTCCCGAAAAATGCATAAAGAACGGGAGAAAATCCGACATACTGAAAGGAACAACAATGGTTTATAGGATAAAGATTACAATCCGTAACCACGGTGAAATGAAGTAGTATATTATCGGCGAAACCATCAAACCGTCAAACCAGGAAGCTTCTTGTGTTAAAATGGACCACGGCCGCTACATCCTTCCTTGTAAGAACAAAGCAGTTGACAAAGTGTTACTGAAACAACCAACTCCTTCATTGTTTTGAAATGTCTGAGATATCTTCATGACAGAATTGTGAGAGGAACGTCACTTTTATACTTTTAGTGATACAAGTTATGGCCGTAGATATAAAAATATTTTCCAAAGACAGCTTCTTCACGTGGTCCTCACAGCACCTCGCATATCTAATGGATAAACCATTAGCTGTTGCTGCATTGTCAACCGAGTTGATGCGAGTCCGCATATCAACTCACAGACTGTCTGTTAGATGGGTACAGTCCAGAACAATATGTACTGAACCTTGCTGTGTGTTGTGTGCTACTGCTAGGGAGTGAACACGTTCTGGAAACACGGATATCTCAGGAAGCATTGAGGATTTTCAGACACCATCCAGCAGGCAATTATAAAAGCCAAATAAAGAAGTTTGTTTGCATTCTTATATCAAAATTGTTTTAGGCATTTCGTAAATTTTATGCATTAATATGGAAGAGAGTGGACTTTATACGTGATCGTATGCAGCATATAAATTATTTTTCAGACAAACTACAGGTTAAACTCGGCCCAAATTCTTCTGATTTAATAAAATTTGTTACCTCTATTCATAAAGCAATCATCAATTTACGATGTCGCCATGAACATCAGGGTCCAACGGCGTCACTCTGTATGAAACTTTAAAAAATAATTGAGTCTGTGTATGAAACGGAATGTTACTATTCCAGAAACCAATTAACTTGACTGGAATTCTTATCATGAGTCTAATGACGCGCTGCCAGGCGTTCGCTGTAATCCAGCATGAAAAATTGGATGTAATGAACCGTTCCTTCATCCTTCACTACTCAACCCCGTTATCATTTTCTTCTTCCCACTGCACATTCTGTTAGACGAATTTACCCACCAGATTAATTAAAATAATTATTTCACAAAAGGGAAACACGGATACACCCAAAACTAACGTGCATGAGAGAGAAAAGCAAGGGAGCAGACATTGCGTTCCTGTAGGATAACTAATGTAAGACTGAAATTGAAAGACGTCATGAAGTATTGAATTCATTTTCAAGCGCGCGTTGAAAGTTCACCCACAGTCGGGAAGTTAATTATAATATGCATGTGATTTCAGATGTGTTCACCGAACATATTCTGCTCATTTCTGACATCAAACAGAAAACCGATGAATGGTTAGTTATTTTGATTTAGAAGTTCTCAATGTCGATTCGGATCTTTAATTTTGAGTGTTTAATGTCGTTTTTATTCTTATTGAACTTTACTCAAAATTGTAACGATTCGGAGACATTTTATGATTGATAATAGTTATGGCTGATTGATTTATATGCTGTAGTGAATATTCAGAGTTCACGGAGTCTTCGAAAACTGCACGTTATAGCGACAGAAACATTTAATCAGTAGGGATGCAGTAATGTTTTCATTGTACGCGTATTACTTCAGAATTACCCGGAGGAAGAGACTGCAATAATGAAATGGACCTGTACCCTGCACCTGACACTACTGTAGTAATTTTCTCTACGAGGATGAGATTGCTGGGACACATAAAACGCTTGAAGGAGGTGAGAATTGTGGTAAAAAAAGATCAGAAAACCTGAAGGAAATAGTCAGTTCGGAAGATAATATTAAAATTTATCTTACAGAAGTAAGGCGTGTTGATGTAGGCTGGGTTTTTCTGCTTCAAGACAGGGTCCAGTGACATGTTATTTTGAACACAATGAACCCTAGGACCCTATAAAAGAGCGAATTTCTTTAACAGCGTTCGAATATTTTAAATTTCTACATATGAAAATTTATTTTAACTTGACTATTATTAAACCAAACGCTCAGCTACAAATATCATGTCCCATTTCCCATTGTCGGCGAAATCTGAAACATTTTTACACCATAATTTTGACAGTTCATATTCTGTAGTCAGCGAATATAATTTACTTTTCAGGCAATATAAAATCTCATTTTCATTTAACTAGTTTACTGACTTTGTTTCACTATGACACAACTTTATGTTTGATGAATTATTCTCGGGATACCAACCGTGTTAGATGGTAGAACACGTGGATAAATACTGTAACACCATTGCTGTACGGGTTTTATTAAAATATGTAAAGTTAAAATGAAGGTTCTGATAATTTGTCATTAGTTTGGTTACATATTTATCGTTATTTTACATATGATTAAAATCTTTACTTTAAAAGTAAACTCATTCTGCCTATTATTCAAAACTAACGTCATTGTTAGACAATATGTGTGGCTGGATTGCGAGACATGGAGTACAGCAGAACGGAAGCCGATTCAAACAGAAACCACATTGTTCAAATTGCAGTGTCATGTGAGTGACAGATAATTTCCCATTCTCGTGTTTCTCTGTGATAAATCGTAACAAAGCCGAGAGAGGTTTTACTAATTCCATACTAAAGGACAATTTCTACTTCTCTTGCTTAGACAGAAATTGTTAAATCAATAACTTAATAGTGTCTTAGTCAATAAAACGTGTAGCAAAATAAAGTCTTTATAACATGTTCGTCTATTTTTATAATATAATTTATTGCTCAGATTTATGTGACTAATGTGACACTAGATCCCTAGCCAACACAATGCGCCCAACTTAATATCATTGTGCTTATACGAGCTATGTTTCTTGTATTCAGAGATAAATTCATGCAGGTTGTGTTCTTGCTTTGCTGTGAGGTAAATTATGACCCAAAACATTATGGCAATAAAGTGGCCAAA